CTAGTTGAGTTTTCTGTTTAATCAAAGAATTAACTCATAACATTTAATACTAATACATTTTATTTTCTCATTTATTGTGCTCTTGTATTCTGTAGATTGGATTTCTTTTTAGTTTCTTCGTGTTTACTTTTGTAAATGTTTAATGTTTTGATTTTTCTGAGTCTAGTTTTAATATCTTTGTAGAACCACATAGATTTTTGTAATGTAGTATGTTCATTATACTGGTTTATAAATAACGTACCATTTTTGTTCATTTTTCTTCAAGTCAAGAATTGAGGAGGGTTAGTGATTAACTTTTTTCTTGTTTTGATTGCATTATGATGAAATAATGTTTTTCTGATTTTTAATTTAAGATTTTCATTGTGGTCTAATATATTGTCATACATAGTAACGATTCCTCCTGTCCTGATTCTCTCCCCCTGCCCCATACTAGGGAATCGAAACACCCCAGCCCTTTTTATTTTGAAATAGAGTTTTACTAAATTGCCCAGGCTGGGCTCAAACATGCCTTTTTCCCTGTATTGTCCATTTCACTGATGGTACCAGAGGAGAGGTGGATAAACTCCATGACTCCATAGCATGAATGAAGGCAGTGGCACCCAACTGTAATGGTAGTAATGGTAGTAGGCTTTAGTAATAGTAAGTAGTAGTCATAATGTTCTTCATTGCAAGCAGTTTGGTAAAAAAGGACAAAATTCTAGTTACACTTAAGATTGCCCTTGATGAAGGTGTAAAAATAGTAATATTTTAAAATCTTCATGTTGGGTGCACATATTTTTGGACTCCTTATCTTGAAATTGATATGTTTTAAAAACTTATTGCATAATAGAGAAGAAAGGCTATCTCGAGGGGAAATGTTTTTTGTCATTGTTTGAGTTGCCCACTGCACTAGCTACCTTTTTCATGAAAAAACACTTTTACTTGAACAATTAACATCCACAATGTGATTGTTCAACTTAGTTTCATTAGTTAGTTTCTCATACATGATCACAGTGAGGCTGTCCCTGCAATGAAAGCGACTGACAGTATTGTTTCCAAAAATACATTCAAACGTTCAAGCAAAAATTACAGTTTTTTTGCACTGTTGATGCTTCCCAGTACCTAAGGATTTTTTTTAATGAGATCCTGGTAATATGTACTCACAGACGTGATTTTTTTTTTTTTTTTTTTTTTATGTTGTAGGTATCTTAATACACAGTGTTGTAAATCATGCATACTTACATAAGAGTGGCTCAAAATCCAAGCTACACCAACGGAATTGAATGTGATAGACCAAGAAAAATTCATGCCATGGTTTTAGATTTTGCAATGCAATGTAACTTTTACGAAATTATAACTTACTGATTTTGTGAATGGCATCAAAGAAAATATTCATGATGATGTGAATAAATTATTAAATGAAATACATTCCTACTTTTTCCAATTGTATCACTGTAGCTGGCTATACTTTTTCTTACACTTGAACTAAAACAAAATATTATAAGCGATTTAATGTAGAAGCAGATGTGAGGCCAGCTGTGTTCTCAAAGACAAAAGAGATTTTCATTCATGTAAAATGGCTCCACTGTTGTTTGGGAAAGTATAGGTATTTTTCATGAACGTGGTATTTATGTTAACTTTTAACGAGTATATTGTTGTATCAGAATGAATTAGTAACTAAATAGACACAACCCATAAAGCAGAGTTTTCTGTGGTATTAAAACGTTTTGTGGTCTTCAGTAAATTTTAGAGGCTAAAGGTTTTCTGAGACCAGAAGGTTTGAGATGCACAGATTTGAAAGAGTAGATTTCAGGCAGGGTAGTCAGTGTAAGGAAAAAATGTGAGCTTTGCGTTAAATAGCCAGGTTCAAATTCTGTATCTGTTATTTCCAATAGCAAGTTACTACCTTCACTTAACAAATTCTAATCCCTCTTAGACCCCCAGGTACCTCGTTTGTAAAATGGTAATAACAAAGTTATTTTGATTGTTGAAGTTAAGGAGTTTGACCTTTTTGCTTTTTTTTCATTGAGTGTTACAGTGATTAATAGACATAACCACTGGAAATCATTACTTAAAAAACAGGTTGTGACATTATTTGTGAATGTTATTTTCTGTATATTTTGTCTAATATTTTTCCCTTGAACCATTATACACATTTTTCAAGTATGTGTGTAAACTTAAAGTTTTACATTTTCAAAGGCAGTAAAACTAATTCAGAACATTTACTTAGGCTTAAGACAGATGGTAATTCTATAAAAAGATGGCATATATTTTTGGATGTAGAAACAGAAAAACAGATACTCTTAAAAATTCCAGAATGATCTTTGCCTAGAAAATGTAGGAAAGAGATAAAAGACCATATGGTCTAATAGAACTTCTATAGTTTCTAATGTCTAATATTGAATTTTGTTTAATATTAGTATTGAGTTGCATATATATTAGGAGTTGAAAAAGGAGTGATTTTCCAATACATGACTGCTAAGTATTTTTTCTGTGATTATCGGGCTTTGGTTTTCTGTGTCATGGATATGATAGTGGGTAGTAGAACCGCTTGACCCCCAAATTTAGTGGGGTTAATTTAAATGTGAATGCTTACCATCTCAAAGTCAGTCGATTCTGCTACAAGGGAAGTTATATACATCTTCATCCTTGGATAGGAGATGGAGTTCTTAGCGAGTCACTTTCATATTCACCTTAATGTTTAACAGTAGCTCGTGCTCCAGATATTTTGCTTTTACAGTTTCTTTGAAAACAATACTTGACAATAAGAGTGTTTTAAAATTACTTTTTAAAATGGAATTGATATACCCAATCCCCTGATTGGTTTCTGAGTGCCTTGTAGTATTTCATACAGATTCTATCTACCCACCAACCAAATGCTATCTGTAACAAAAAGTGAACATCTGTCAGATTTCTCTCTCCTGTCAACTCCTACCTTATGTTGCCATTTTGTTTCTAGTGGCTTTACATTACAATTTATCCATTCATAAATCTGCTTCTACTGGAGATTATAAATAGGTTATTAGTCTGCATATTCCCACACAGTGCTGTGCTTGTAGTAGGGTAAATGCAGAGGGAATAAATGAATGTGATTAAAGTTAAACTAGTTTTCTGCTGAGTAGCACTTAAGCTACTAGGTGAAGAGATGCAACCTGCAAGCATTCTCTAGGCACTGAATGTATGACAGGGAATGAGCTCTGTTCTCAAGAAATTCCTGAGTGTAGAGGGACCTTCCTAGATAACACAGGTTATGGGATTATTTTTATTTTTAAAGATGTTTAAGCCAGGCATGGTGGTGCACATCTGTAATCCCAGCACTCAGGAGGCTGAGGCAGGAGGGTTGTTGTGAGTTGGAGACCAGCCTGGGCTACA